CCCCGGGAGGTAACCTGCCTTACCAGGAGCTGCCGGGGCAGCTGCTCAGTGACCCTCTGCAGCAGGGCGTGCGTGGGCTTCTGGGAGCAGAGCAGGATCAATTGCACGGTCCTGTCTCCCCGAAGGAGAAGTCCTTTTGCCAGGAGGCCGACCCGCATCACACCTTTCAGGATCCGAGCAGAGGGGTTGACACCACTGTGAAGACAAACCCGCAAATGCACACATAAGAAGAGGGGTCAGAGAGAAAGGGAGCATGTGGCCCTGCCCTGGGTCTGAAAATGTCAGCAGCTTGCTGGGGCCTCGGTGCCTCAGCTCTCTCATCTGTGAAATGGGCCCTTTCTGAGTCCTATTTCTCAGAGTACACTTGATGAAAGGAGACATGAGAAGATATATCTGAGAAAAGCCATTGTGATGGGTGGTTCCAAAAAAATGTATACACACTTTGAATGATTATAAAGGCAGTGTTTATTAAAATACATTTCCAAAATTGAGCTATCAGCTGTAAAAGTGTGTATATCTTTTTGGGGGACACCCTGTATGTGCTCAGTAAGAGCTGGTGGTTGTTACTATTTCCTGATAAAGTACATTTTGAAAAGGGCCAATGATGGCATCCCCAGTGACCCCTGGTCCTCAGCTAGTTGGTGCCACCCTGGTCAGCCCCTGGGTTTGGGCACCTTCTAAGTCATCTCTGGGGTGAGCAGGCCCATCCAGGTACTCAGGCCACAGCATCCTAAGGGAGATCCCTCCTCCAGCCTTGCCTCTCTGCAGATCAGGGCCAGCTTTCTGCAGTGTGAATCTATCATCGAGTCTGCCCTACATCGAGCCTCCCAGCACTGGCCCTCTGTAGGATGGGGACACCCAAGCTTATTCCCTGGCCTGAGGACACCAGCCTGACCCTCTGGGCCTCCATGCCACCATCCTCTCCCACTCCTCCCTATCAGGCCTTATGCTCTAGCCCAGTGATTTTCAACATTTTTCATCTCATGGCACATGTAAACTCATTACTAAAATTCTGCAGCACGCCAAAAAATATTTTTTTTGTCAACCTGACAAAAAATGGTATAATTTTGATTTATAAAAAAATAAATATAGTAATTACCTACCCTTTTTGCTCCAGAGTGAGTTTTAAAAAATCAGGTGTCTATACTTCTATATAAGGATTTTTGGTACCAAAACTTAACCAATTGCCCTGGTCAGGTGGCTCAGTTGGTTGGAGCGTCATCCCATACACCAAAAGGTTGCAGGTGCGATTCCTGGTCAAGGCGCATTCCCAGGTTGAGGCCAGTGCTGGAGGCAACCTGATCAATGTTTCTCTCTCTCCCTCTCTCTCTCTCTCTCTTTCTCTCTCTCTCCTGTCCTTTCTCTCTAAAATCGATAAAAACATATCCTCAGGTGAGGATTAAAAACAAAACAAAATTAACCAATCAGACACAACTTTATTATTCAACATGACTAATAAAATGCAACACTATTATATGACCTATATATTTATGGTTCAAGACAGGGCAATCACACCTGGTGGCTATTGTGTTGGCTATTGTCATTTTTTTATTCGACAGTATAAGGGAAAAAAGGTCAGTGACCCTGACCTAGACATGTATTGCATGTTTCAACATTTCTTGTGGCACAGTGGTTGAAAGTTGCTGCTCTAGCCCCAAGCCCCTTCTTCCTATTTCTCTCCAGCCCCACTAGGCTTGTTCCTCTGCTCTGGTCCCCAGGACTGGTGCCTGGGGTGCCCTCGAGTGACAGATCTCCAGAAGCTGCCACTAACCATAACTTTGTTTTCTTGTGTGTGTGACATTCCTAAGGATAGGAGATAACCTTTTTATAAAAAACACGTTTATATATTGTTATCCACTTGGGGACCACAGAACTCTGGAGCCCACTGGCAAAATCCAGACCAAGGATGTCTGAATTAAGGTACAAGGATCAGACTCTGCAACTGAGACTCAGAAAAGCAGAGAAAACAGAAAACAGGGTGAGGGGAACCTGCAGAAATATACAGACTTACAGGTTTGTCAACCAACTTGAATCCCAATTCACACAAATTAGAGAACAGAAAACAAACTCCAGAAAACAAAAAAACCCCACTCACATTATGATATCTATAGGACGAGTAGAAATTTCAACACTGACTGGATATTCGATGATGTTAAAGAATTACTGTTAATTTTTGCTGTGGCTCAGTGGTTAGAGCATCAGCCCTAGCATTGAGGGGTCACGGGTTCGATTCCCAGTCAAGGGCAGGTACCTGGGTTGCAGGTTTTTTGTTTGTTTGTTTTTTATTTCTCAATCCTCACCCAAGGATATTTTTTTCCATTGCTTTTCAGAAAGAGTAGAGTGGGGAGGGAAAGAGAGGGAGAAAGAGAAAAACACTGATGTGAGAGAGACACATCAATTGCTTGCCTACTGCACGTGCCCCAACCAGGGCCGAGCCTGTAACCATAGTATGTGCCCTTGGCCGGAATCAAACCCAGGACCCTTCAGTCCGAAGGCCAACACTCTAACCACTGAGCCAAACCGGTTAGGGTTGGGTTGCAGGTTTGATCCCCAGCCCCGCCTGGGGCACATGCGGGAGGCAGCCAGTTGATGTGTCTCTTTCACATCACTGTTTCTCTCTCTCTCTGTCTCTCCCCCTCCCTTCCACTCTCTCTAAATCAATGGAAAAAATATCCTCAGGTGAGCATTAACAAAAAGAAAGAAAAGGGTCCTTATTATTTAGAGATAGGTACTTACTAAGTAGTTAGCAAAGGAACAATGTGATGTCTGATAGGATCTCCTTTGAACCTCTATGGAGGGGGTAGGGAGGAAGAGCCAGAGATAAGTGAAATCATGTGAGCTGGTCAAGGTTTTGTAACAGTCACATGGTGTTCATTATAATTTTACTGTTCCGTCAACTTTTGTGTATGTTACAGAATTTCCATACTAAAAGGTTTAAAAAACCCAAACACTAAGATGCTCTTTGCAACAGTTAAATAAATAAGGGAACATTCATAGGATGGTTTATTATGTTCCCATTAACACATTTCCATGTTTTTGAAAAATATTGTAAAGGCCCATGTTGACTTCCTGCCTTGACACATGCTACAGTTCCTTCCATGTTCGCACTGGGGGAAGCTGGGGAAGGGTCTGAAGACCCTCTGTGTACTATTTTTTTATGAGTCCATAATTATTTCAAAATAAAAAGTTAAAAAACAACTAAAAAGAAAACAGGTGTACAGGGGGAAAACTGGAGGGAACTTCAAAGCATTAAGTGAGGGGGAATTTTTTGTTCAGAAAACATGAGTGGAGACTTAAGACATGGCACCCTTTCTGTCTACAGCATCAGACACCTCTGAGCAGCTTCCAAGTGCTCAGCCCATGTGCACGGGGCTCAGAGGCCGCAAACCTGGCCTCTGGGAGTAGGGCTGCAGACAGTGTCACTTGCCTCATGGCCAGACCATCTCTCCAGGACCTGTGAGCAAGTGCAAACCCCAGGCAAACCTCAGAGTTAGGATGGCTCCACCCTTCAAAGACCTCCCCATCAGACCTTGCACTCTGTCTTTTGGCTTCATGAGGGTATCTGGGGAGAAATGAAAAAAATGTCTGCTTTGCACCCTGTTTTCCCGACCAGGTGGGTGAATTAGTCTTCCTTTCCCTAGTAGATGCAGACTATTGGGAGGTTCGCTTGCTGCACATTCATTTTATCGTGATACTTTGTAACTCACAGTGGTACACGTTCCTTTCTAGGGAGCAAAGACTATAGTGAAAAGAAACCAAAGTGGAATGGACCAGATACAAAAGGACAAGTACTGCATGAATCCACCGACAGAAAATGCCCAGAACAGGCCGAGCCATAGCGAGAGGAAGTGCAACGCCAATGCCAGGGACTGGGGCAGAGGGGCAGGGAACTTAATGGGGGCAGATTCCTGTTTTAGATGATGAAAAAATTGTAGAAATAGACAAGTGGCGAGTAATGGTTGCACAACCTTGTGAATGTACTTAGTGCCACTGTATTGTACACATAAAAATGGTTAAGACAGTAAACTTCATGCTATGAGTATTTTACCACAATAAAAAAAAAAAAAAGCCACCTAGAGAGAAAGGACTTGGAAAAGCTAACTCCCTCTCAGATGATTTCAATCTTGTAACGACTCCTCACAGGGCACAGGGACTCTTTTGTCTCCCCACAATCACAGGGCCTTGACTGATGACTCAGATGGGCACTAAGGGGCAGTCTCTGCTCCATGAGGCAGAGGGGTCAGGGCAGAATCACATTTATCTCCATTTTGTAGATGAGCAAACAGGTGGTTCTTGTTCTGTGAACTGTTTCTAGATGGACCTTTGGTCAGAAAAGTAAATTCTGGTATTGAACAACAGCTCTCCAATGGAACTAAAACTCCTCTTGAATCTCGGGGCTCCAGCCCTGAGAATAGAGACTTAGTGAATTTACTGCCCACAGACAGGCTGGGAAGCCCCTGCCCAGCAGGGGCTCAAAGATAATCAGAGGAGCTGCCTCTGCCCCTCCTGGCAGCCACTTCCTGTGAGAATCCTACCTCCTCCAAGAAATCCCCTGGGGATGGGGAAATGAGGCTGATCTCCATTACCTACGGTCCCTGCCCTCCAGCTCTGGGCCCCTGGACTTCTCCTCCGCCAATGTGTCAGACACCAGCTTGAGGGCACACTCCGAGTGGGACACAGCCTTCTGGACAGCTAGGAGCTCCTTCTCTGTGGGGTAAATGGTGGCATGCTTGCACAAGACGTGGCGATCATCACTGGACTCGGGCCGCCGTGTGGGCTATGAGAAAAGGTGCACATGTTACAGTGAGCTGAGAGGTCCCGGGGCTGGTGGGCAGGGGACAGGAGGAGTGTCAGCTCTGCAGAGGTGCAGCACATGCAGCAGGACAAGGGGGAGCGGATCCAGGCTGAGGAATGACAGGGACCCACAGGTCATGAGCCAGTGAGGGCCCCAGGGCCTCCCCTGATGGCTGCAGGAAGCTCAGGGCTGAGGATGCCAGGGGGCTCCCCTGTAGTGACACATTTCCAAGCCAGAGGCTTTCCTGCCAATTCAGTGGGCCTATTCCCTCAGCAAGGTGCAAATCAAAGGTTCCCATCCAACCCCAGCCTGCACAGACAGACACCTAAGGACCCCCAAGGGATGTGACAACTGGGACCTCAGGAAACTAAAGGAGGGACCACTCGGTGGGCAGTGAGGCCGGAGCCTGGAGTTCCCATCAGTGACCAGCAATGAGAGGTGGGCATTCCTTCAGGGCTCGGTACAAGGTCCTATTCCTCATTCCTGGAAGATTCGGGTCCTTCTAGTGAGGATGTGAGAAAGTCACCCACCCCATGGTGCCAGTGCCACAGGAGACGTTTCAGAACAAGGCCACCACCTACCAGAGACATGGTGGTGGGCACCCCGGGCCTGCTCACGAGGGGAGGAAGGTGCTGGTTGGGTGGTGAGTGTCCCAGGCTCTCATCCTGGGCCTGCGGCTTCTCCTCTGGCCGCCTCTTCCACAGGCTGTAGCACCTATGGGGAAGCAAGAAAACAAAGAGCTGTCAGCAGCTGCAGGGCCCTGGGCTGGTCGCACCAGAACCAGCAGCATGGGGAAGCCACATGACTCCTGCTGCCTGGTCCTTGGGCCGAGCAAGGCTGAGGCTCCAGGGCCACTGAGGAGATGAAGCAGCTGATTGGGACCCCATGAGAGCCCACGAAGAGATTCTGTACCAATGCTTGCCATATGCCAGGGACACTAGGGTTCCAAGGGCCAGGGGGACACAGGCCAAGAGTAACTGCTAGGGAGGGAGGAGCTGGCCTAAGTGGCCAGAGCCCCGAGTCTGTCCCGGGCCTCGTTCCCCAGCTCAGATGCTGCTTTGGATCTTCCATGAATTGATACCGTGTCACAAAATACTTTAGAATTACTCTTGAGGGTGAAGGAGGAGAATGACAAGTGCATGCGTGGTCAGGAGGCATCAGGATCAGGGACACAGGAGGTCAGGGGGCCACCATGGGTCGGGGGATACTAGGGGTGGTCAGGTAAAACCAGGGGTCAGAGGACACCAGGGTTCAGGGAGATACCAGGAGTCTGGGAACACAGGGACACAGGAGGTCAAGGAACACCAGGGGTCTAGGGACATGGGGACAATAGGGCATCCCTGTGAATCAGGCCTGAGTGTGCCAGCCCCTTGGTTGTCAGGACCATGCCATCCCTCATTTATTAGGGGGCTCACACGAACTAAGGCAGATGTTTAGAGTGACCTGAGCACAGGGCTTGGTTAGCTCTAAAATTCTCCAAATCCCCACAAGTGCTGTGTTCCCTGCCAACCTTGCAGGTGATGAGCATCTGGGTTCTCAGGCCTGGGACGGAGGACAGATGTCCCCCAACCTAAGCAAGTGAGGAAGCGAGCAGACATCTGGATCTCCAAGCTGCCTGGGGCAGGGGGGAGTCAGGAGGGTGAGAGGGGAGGGACCCCGCACCTCATCTCTGTGTGCCAGCGCCGCAGCTCCTCCAGCTGCTTCCTGACCTGCTGCTTCTGCTTCCTCTTCCTCTCCTCCAGGAGCTTCCAGGCTCTGTTGCTGAGCTTGATGGAGATCGGAAGGTCAGGATTGACTTTTTTCTGAAAAAGAAAGGATGGCTGTAAGATCGGAGACCATCACTTAGACGAGAACACTGAGGTGTCTCGGGGGCGCAGAGAGAGGCCCCATGACTGACACCCTTCTGCTGTATTTAGAAAAGTGGGCTTCAAGCCCCCGGAATCTTAACACTCCTCGCCCCCAAAAGTGCTGGCAGGAAAGGGAACTAGCATGGGCGACCAAACACAACTGACATGCAGAGTAACAGACACGACAGTGAAAGTAGAGCCCCGTCTCCGTATCTGACGGGAGCCAAAGGTGACGTGACACCACTAGTGAATAAATGAGGTCTGTCACTGAAAGTTCAACAAAAATACTCGTGCCCAATCAAAACAACTCGGGGCAAACACCATTTGTGTGAAATCCAGCAATATATATTTCAAATAGCATGGTTAATTCATTTGCTGAACTTGGTTCTTAGCACTTAATTTCTTCATTCAGAAAGTGTAGTGTTGTATAAGGATTATTCACTGGCAGAAACAACCCAAGAGTCCATCAGCAGGAGAACGGACACACAAGATGTGTCCATCCACATCCTGGACTGTTACTCAGCCACAAAAAGGAAGAAAGTTTTGACACTCACTACAACTTGGATGGACCTTGGAAACACTCGGTGTTCAGTGAGAGAAGCCAGACACGAAAGGCAACACGGTATGTGATTTCACTTATGTGAAATGTTCAGAACAGGCGAATCCACAGAGAAAAAGTGGGCTTGCGGTTTTTAAAAAGGGCCTGAGGTTGGGAATGAGGACTGACTGCTAATGGGGATGTGCTCCTTTTTTGGGGTGATGCGAATGTTCTGGAACTAGAGAGGTGATGGTTGCACAACTCTGTGAATACAGTAAAAGCCATTCAACTGTATAATTTGTGTGGGTGAATTGTGCAGTGTGTGAATGACATCTCAATGAAACTACTAAAAAGAGAGGAAATACTCAGAAGCCACTGTTTATCATGCTGAGGAGAGTTATGTGTGTGCTCTGTACAAGCATCCTCGAGGCCCAACAGGCAGGATTATACACACACATGTTCACATGTGTCCTCTAGTTTAGCCCAGAGTGCTGAAGGGCCCATGGGAAATCCTTGGCCACACAAAGCCACCCCTTGGGTGGGAAAGGGGGCCCCTGCTGGTGCTGGGAAGCCCTTGGCATTGGAGGCCCTGGGCTCCCTGAAGATGGTTCAGCCTGAACAGCCAGACACCCCCTGCAGCAGTGGCCCCTCTAGTCACAACTCAGCACCAGGGGCCTGGCTTCTCTCCAGCTCAGACTCAGCCCTACCCTGGTGCCTGCATGCTTCCCCATGGGTCACAGTTCAGACAGGGCGCAGCACTCCGCACCTCAGCTAGCACAGGCCAACTTGGGACACAGGCAGAGGCCCAAGGAAAGAAAAGTAACATGTCTCAAATGTGAACAAACCGATACTGACTGTCGGGAAAATGAGGCAATACCTGTGTGTCCTGTTTTGTGTGCACATCTATGGTCTGTGCGCTTGGGAATCTCCACCGGCAACAAGAGGGTGCAGAGTTTTACAACTAAACATTCATCTGCAAGAGATGAAATAAACTGGCAAATACGATCCCATGTTTTCTGCTCTGGTCTGCCAGGCAGGTCTGGATGCAGGTTGAGAGGCCCAGGGTGCGTGGAGCTACTGTTTGGGCTCCAACTCACAGAGGATAAAATGCATTTTGAGACATAGACCAAGATGTAGAACTCATGGAAGTTCTTAACGCGTGCGCGCACACACACACACACGCATGTGTGCCCCAACCCGGAGCGGGCCAAGATCCTGCAAGGCACACCTTGTACTCCAGCCGGTGCCGCCGCCCTCTCACGTGCATGTCCCTGGCGTTGGGGTCATTGAAGCTGCACTCGCACAGACTGCAGTGGAACCGGATCACTTTGCCTTCATTGTTGCATACCTGAGACACAAAGCTCAGCTAAGCGCTGGCCCCTGGGGAAGGGTGCCTCCTTCCACCCTCGGAGGGCACTGAGCCTGCCTGGGTGGTCCAGAGGAGTGACAGCAAAGCCTTCAAGGCCAGCGTTCTGGCTTCCTGTCTGAGCTATTCCAAAGGGCAGCTTTCAGAGGAGCTAACACCACACCCCATGCTGAGCTCACCTCTACTACCATGGTGCCCTTTCCCCGCCCCCGGCTAAGCCACCTCTGGCCTATGCCCTGCCCTGTGGCGCTCCCGCCTTTGCCCTCCCCCGATTTCTGCCCATTATGTGCCTTTCTCTTTTTGCTGCAGGTTTTATGGACCTCATCTCCTTAACTGTTAAATGACAAGCTCTGCAGTGCAGAAGTCCTACCTGGTGTGGTTATTTTGCATGGGACAAAACAAGATGCTGAACTGGTTGAACAAAAATGAAAAGAGCCCGGCTGGGTGTGGCTCAGCGGTTGAGCGTCGACCTAGGATCCAGGCGATTAGGGTTCGATTCCTGGTCAGGGCACATGCCCAGGTTGCTGGCTCAATCTCCAGTCGGGGGTAGGCAGGAGGCAGCCCATCAATGACTCTCTCATCATTGATGTTTCTATCTCTCTCTCTCCCTCTCTTTTCCTCTCTCTGAAATCAATTTTTTTTTTTTTAAAAGAAATGCTGCCACTCGCACTTCCTTTTGGACCAACTCAGGGAGGCTGGGAACTATGGAAGTGGCCAGGAGAAGCTTCAGAATTTGAGTCCTGGAAAGCTGTTTAAGACAAGCCTGTGGGGCCACTGCTCAGGCTCTGGGCTATGGCCATATAGGGTGCACGCTGGCTCCTAATGCCCCTAGAATCACATGCCTTAGGGTGAAATGGTTGTCTAGCTTTCTAGGGCACCAATTCCTTTTTCCACCCTTCTTCCCACAGAAAAAAGGGCTGCTCAGCAAGAAATGTCTCTGCCTATCTCAGGCCTTCCTTCTAAGATCTGAAAATCCAGTGCCTACACCTTCCAGTAAGTTCCAGATGACTCACTGAGGTCTGCTGGGGAATGAGTGTGAATATGAGATGGGGAACAACTGGGTTGAGGACATGAAGCCTGACCCCGGCAAGGCCCTTTTCCATTAGAACCCAGAGATGGAGAAGGGCACACATCGTTGCAGTTACCTCTTGCACGTAGCCTGGGCCCACGGGCTGTGAGTCACAGCAGCTTCCAGAAGTTTCCACAGAGCTTCCTTGGGTGGGCAGTTGTCCTGGCCTCTCTGATTTCCCATGTGCCAGTTTCCCCTCTGGGGGTCTGCAGCCCTCTGCCTGTGGCTCAGGAGGCCCTGCAAGAACTGTGTCACATAACCAGCTCTGTCCAAAAACCACACCCGGCCTGCTTCCAGTTGGCCAGTATGGAGGGGAAACACAATGCAAACCCAGGTCTCCCGCAGCCCCTTTCACCCCTGCGTGGCATTGGCCAGTTGGATACAGGGTCCTGCAAGTTGTTTTCCTGTCAACTTGAGTCATGGCTGAGAGAACAAGGCCACATAGTGCTTGGTCCAATCAGAATGCATTCATAGAGGGGCCCTGGCTGTAGCCCCCTGGCTGAGGAAAGCCCCACAGCACAGGCTCTACAGCCCTTAGTTAATAGACAATGAAACATCAGGTGGACCAAGGGCCTGGCCCCATTACATCCACTGAGCCTTGAGAGGGAGAGCTGCTTCTTTGTTGTCAAAACTGCTTTATGAGTTTATCTTCAGTATTATGTGATTATTCAAAACACAGTGCTACTGATGCTAAAATAAAATAAGCGCCCTCCCCATCCCACAGAAAGCATGGGGGCGAAGAGCAGAGATGGTTGGAGAGCTGGGTTCGAATCCTGCCTCCACCATTTATGGGGTGGCCTGGGTCAGGCACTTCCCCTCGCCTCATCTTGTTTTTTCCATCTGAAAATTGGGACCAGTGACAAAATCTAGTTTAAAGAGTCATAATGGGCACACCAGGAAATGCATATGGAGTGGTTTTGGAGTGCCTGACATACAATCCTGGTTATGACCCACTCAGTATGCATCACATGGTAGCCATTACTTCCCTCGGGTATCCGTTGATGTGTCCTGCCCCTGAGGGAAGCAGGGCCAGAATTGTGGCTGAGAGGAGCCCACCTTAATTTCTCAGTACCCACATAACTGTGAGAGCCCAGTCTGTCCACTGAGGTGTGCAGGGGGCTACTCCCAGCATGTGGGAGATAGCAGCCTAGGGAATTCTCCAAGCCTAGGGCAGGGCTGTCCCAAGCTCCATGGGAAGAAATGATGCTTCCCATCTCATTGTTTCTACCAAGCTTTCAGGGAAATGGTCTCTTATCAGAGGTTCAGAAGGTATGGACCAGAGGCAGCAGAGCACCTGGGGCCTGGCAGGAATATGGGAGAGCAGTCATGCCCGTTCCCCACCCCCGCCCTCACGCATAGCTTAGTCCCACCAGAGAATATATGCTGGCTCACACACAAATTAACTGGCCAAACACTTCTCTGAATCTCCAGTTTGTTGAGTCAGGGCATGGCAGGAACGCTGTGAACTGCAGAGACACATACCCATGCATGTGGTCTTCGAGGCCACAGGTCTCTCGGCCAGCTCTGCCCTGGTGGTGTGCATGCTGGAGCCAGCAGGGTCCACGAGCTTGGCTGAGGCCACAGGGGGGCTCTCAGTGGTGAGGGGGGCCGACTTGCTGGTACAGGTGGTCTGGGCTGTGCAAGAGTTCCCTGGCACCGGTTCTATGGTGGGAATGGGCTTCCCCAATTTGGTGTGCAGCTTGAAGACCTGGAACAGCCCCAGGTTCCCCTGTCAGGGCCACCTGCAGGCCTGAATGACCTTCTTCAAGAGGCAGGAAGAGCACCTCGGTGGGTGTGGGAGGGCTGGCAACCTGTGGAAGTGAGGATGGGTGGTCCTGTCCCAGTCCCCAGGGACCTCATCCACTCCCTAGCTATCAAGCTCTCTCAAGCATCATCCCTCTGGAAGGGCCTTCCTGAGCTGTCTCCTGCTTCTAGGCCCCCACTAGTCATGCACATGTGGCCCTATAATCCAACAATACCCTGTGCTGGCTAACATTGACCCCCTTTCTCCAAAATCCACTGCCTTGGGCTGAAAGGATCCCAAGCACCAACTCGGTGCCCGCCCCTGATGGGGATACAGAATGCATGGATGGATGAGTGGATAGGGGCCACCTGTTAAGACATACATGTGTACTTGTCCACAGACACACATCTACGTTCTATAGGAACACATGTACACCTAGGATTCAGTCACACCCCATCCTCAATAGCCTTGACTATTTTAATTTTATTTATTTAATTGTATTTGTTTTTTAAAAGCGGGACGCCAAATGGAATATACCGTTTGATCTCATCAATGTTCAAACTCTTGTTCATGTAAACGTCTAAACATACCTAATGCCATGAACGGTTTCTCAGGGGTCTGGGTACAAGCCCTACACTGCTTCATGCTTCCATCCAGGGGCAGGTAGGACTTTTATAACTGGAAAAAGTGTTTGGCTTCTGAGGAAAAAGGACACATGGGTCCTACAGAGAAAGTTTCCTCTCATTGGTGGCTGCCCCCTCTGATGTCATTGGATACCTTTCTGGGGCCCAGAGTGTGGAAAGTGGGACTGCTCCCAGGGCTGCCCTGCCTAAGCCGTGTGGGGTTCCTACCTTCCGGTGCTTGGCCCCCTGGATGTGAGCGGCATAGGCCTCTGCCCCAGTGCAGGACACGGCACAAAGTTCGCAGCGCAGTTGCGCCTGCACCCCACGTGGGCTGCCTTTGGGCTGGGTGCCCATCTTCTCAGCTGCCTCCTTTTTCTTGTGCTTCTGTCCTTGCAGGTGCTCAAGGTAGGTCTGCTGGCAGATAGCGAGGGCGGCCTGAGGCGGGCGTGTGCTCACTGGCACCACATTGTTCCCTGGGAAACAAGCCCACGGTCCCCACCCCTCCATTCTCCGGCTAGAGATGTTCAGGCACCGCTTTATTTAAGCCCAGTCAACAGACTCAGGTGCTCGTTATGGCTTGAAAGACATAACAGTTTTTTTGTGTGTGTTTTTCTAAAAACAAATGAGTTTCTTAAGCCAGCATCCTTAAAGAATCACATATTTGGTTTTGAGGGCCACTGTGAAAAAAGATTTTGGCTTTTCAGAATTTGACCTCAGAAACTAAACAAGGATGCATGCTACACTTCCTTATTAGAACACGGCTAATACCAAGGGGCTCTACATGAGAGAGGCTACTGTGGGTCACAGACCTACTCATCCTGCGTCACTGGGACCGAAATATCTGACTGCATCTGGCAAATGACCAAGCTCTTATGTGGCATCCCAGACTCCTCTCCTAGAAACCTTAAGATGAGGCAAGTTGCCCGGCTGGGCATGGCTCAGCAGCTGAGTATTGACCTAGGATCCAGGAGATCGAAGTTAGATTCCCGGTCAGGGCACATGCCCGTGTTTCGGGCTGGATCCCCAGTGGCGGGCGTGCAGGAAGCTGCTGATCAATGATTCTCTCATCATTGATGTTTCTCTCTCTCTCTCCCTCTCCCTTGCTCTCTTTGAAATCAATAAAGATATATGAAATAAATAAAAAAAGATGAGGCAAGTTGCAGCAAACACAGATAAAGTGGGCCCACTAAACCAGTGCATTCTGATCATGCCCAGAGTCAACATTTGTGGGACAAAAACACCTCTGGAAAATATACAAGGCAGCTCCAGCAGGTCCTGGGGGCAGATGGGAGGCAGGGGCAGGAGTGGGAGGGGTACTCGATGGAAGGTAGGAATCTTGTGAACATATTACCTAAGCAACAGAGCACGCGCACACACACACTCACGGAACACAGAAAAGGCTGGAAGGATATACACCAAGACACCAACAGTAAACTACTTCAGGTGGAGCAATTATAGGCAGTTCTCGCCTACTTTTTAAACATGCAGTTGTAGTGAACCTCATGGCTTCTACAAACCTTGAAAAATCTGATTTCTATCTTCATCCCTAAAACTATTCTGAGTTCATCTAGTTACTGACCCTCTCTGAGCCCCAGACCGTCACCTGACACATGGATGTAACGATGCATTTAGAAGCACAAAATAACCTACTGAACATCTCAGAGTTCTAAGGTGTAATAGGAGCAAATGTTGCAGTTTTGTCATCCTACCACCAGACTCTCCACCATAAATATGTTAATTAATATTTAATGTTAATTAACGTATAATGAGAAAACCCAGGGAGGAATGTTAGAAAGAGGCCGACCCTACAGCTCCAAGGCCACCCTCCTGGCCCCCACTGGGCTAGCATGGAGACTATCCTGTCAACTGCGCTGGCTTTGGCCTTGACTTAGAGAGCCTGCTTAGATGGACATTCAGAGAAAATGTAGAAGTGCTGCCAGCCGGGAGGCCATGCTGACACAAGTCCCTTCCTGACACAGATGGAGACCACGTGTGGCTGTTTCAACATTCACAAGGTGTGAGACTGTAATGGGGTGGGGGTGGGAGGGAGGNTCCTGCGGTACTGGAAACACTCAGGATCTTGATGGTAGTGGTGGATTTGCGAGCCTGCCCAGGTTATAAGTTCACACAGAAAAAAATACACGTGCGCACACACAAATGAGTACGGTAAAGCTGGGGATATCTGAATAAGAGCAAATCATGTCAATTCAACCTCCTGTTTGCAATTCACAAAATGTTACCATTAGGGGAAACAGCTAAAGGATATGTGGGACCTCTCTGCATTACTTGTTACAACTACATGTGAACCTACAACTATCTCAATAAAAATTCCAATTAGCCTTGGCCGGGTGGCTCAGTTGGCTGGAGCATCATCTGTGCACCAAAAGGCTGTGGGTTCGAATCTCAGTCAGGGCCCATACCCAGGTTGCAGGTTTGATCCCCTGTCAGGGCACATATGGGAGGCAATCGATCAATATTTCTCTCTCATATCGATGTTTCTCTCTCTCTCCCTCTCTCTCTCAAATCCATTTTTTAAAAAACAACAACAAAAAACATATCCTCTGGTGAGGATTAAAAAAAAAATTCCAATTATCCTGGCTGGTTTGGCTCAGTGGTTAGAGCGACGGCCTGTGGACTGAAGGGGCCCAGGTTCAATTCCGGCCAAGGACGTGTACCTTGGTTGCAGGCTCAGTCCTCGGCCAGGGCGTGGGCGAGAGGCAACCAACAGATGTGTCTCTCCCACATCAATGTTTCTCTTCTCTCTCTCTCTTTCCCCCTTCCACTCTCTGTGAAAAGCAATGGAAAAAATATCCTTGGGTGAGGATTAAAAAAAAAAATTCCAATTAAATAAGTGTTACTAATATTAGCAAAACTGCAAATAACAAGAATTGACCTTTCTAAGTGACACTGAGTACATGCCAGATGCCATGCTAAGTGGTGACGCTCAGGCAAACCCTGTCCCACGGGGAAACTGAGGCTCAGAGAGAGAGAGAGAGGCTGTGACACTTCCTTGGGTGATGGTGCCACAGGGCTGGGCTATGAGTCCGGGAGGTCAGTTCTGGAGCCCACACTCCTGCTACATAAACAACATGCACACTCATGTACCCATGTCCAATGTCATCCACCCATGGCCCTGCCTGAACAGCCATGCAGCCGAGGCACAACCACAACTAGCTGTGTCTGCTTGTGCCCTCCCTCACTGCTCAAGGAAGAGGCACTGACTGCCTTCCCCACCCCAAATCAAGAGAAGCTCCCTCACTTTGCAGTTCAAGACCAGGTTTCTGTGGCCAACAGTCAGTGCTGTGCTGCTCGCGTTTCTTCCACTCAAACACCAGTAGGGCAATCTTAAGGCAATTCTGACACACACTTGACATTGCAAGTTTAATAACAGGCCTCTCTGGGGCAGGCTATGACCCTGACCTCTGGTTGACCACAGGGGACAAGGAAAGGGCAGGAAGGCTGAGGGGCCTGCTAGGCATTGGGCATGGGTTGGCTGACCTGGGCACCGGCACAGCTGATCTTGCAGATGTCACAGTAGTGAAGCAAGGGCTGCCTGGGCCCACCATTCAGCAGCCTGGTGGGAACCAGTGGCTTCTTGGGGAAGCTGCCGGCGCAACTGGCACTAGAGCTGTCCCCTGAGCCATCCTGTGGGGACAAGTCCTCAGGCTTTGGGAGTGGAGGAGGCGGGGGTGGAGGCGGCGGGGGTGGAGGCTGCGTCTGTGGGGGGAGCAGTGGAGGATAGTAAGGACCTGCTGCTGAGTACACTGACATGTCACAGTTCTGGTAGCTTGGTCCTAAGAAGCAGAGAGAATGAGAGGAAATGGGTTGGTTTTGAGGACAATGTTTATTTCAGCTGCAAACAGAGTCACACGCTTCAACTGCATTCATGCTCAGGGAAACCACCAGCTCACCTGTGTACGGGAGGGAGGTGAAGCTATAGGAGGTTGAGGACAAGGTGTAGGAAGGCAGGGTGGACACGAAGACCTCGGGCTGGACGCTGGACGCTGGGGGGCAGGTATAATGGGAGGATGGGACGCTGGCTGTCTCCCTAGTAGTGGGCACCTGTTGTGGGGGCTGCACGTGGCTGTACCTACTGCTGGGCTGACAGTAAGCTCCTGTGATCCCTGGAGAGCAAGCAGAAACCCTCTGAAGAGCCACACTTCACCCCCATCCCTAGGGAGTGCAAAGCAAGAACCACACTCCCTATGACCACCACAATCAGCCTCCCCAGCTGCCGGAGCAAACTGGGGCCCCCACTTGTGGATGAGCCTTAGGTGCAACTGGCCTCAGGGGAAGGCCAGAGCCCTGGGCCTCCGGTCCCAAGCTCTGATCCCGGCTGGGATTCATGTGTGACCTGTGCCCACCACTCCTTTCCATACTCTTCCTCTGTATCATGAGTGTAAAGGGTGTGTGTGTCTAATCAATGTGTTCCTTATCTCGTCCACGTTTTAAAATTTTTTAAAAGATTTTTCTAGAGAGAGAGGAAGGAAGAGGGGGAGAGGGGGAGACAGAGAAACATCGATGTGAGAGCAAAATTAATCGGCTGCCTCCTACACTGCCCCTACCAGGGATCACGCCCACAACCCAAGCATGTGTCCTGACCAGGAATCGAACCAGAAACATTTCAGTGCATGGATGATGCCCTATTAACTAAGCCACACTGCCAGGGCTATCTCTTCCACATCTAAGATCAAAGTCCTCAGGAGAACTTACCCCCATGCACCCTGGGAAAGCTTCCTTGGAAAACACTTTCAGCTCCACTTTTAGTCCCCCGCCCCAGGCCCCTGGTTGAAAAGACAGCCCTGACATTCACATTACTCCAGACTTCCCTGTGAATCTGGATGTTTAATGTGGTGACTCCCATGCCCTTGCTCACACCTGACCCTGCAGAAACCCACCTGGCTGGCAGAGCGTGGTCATGGCAGGGAGTTGAAGCTGGCCCACAGCAGGTAGGTGATACTCTTTGTTTTCATAGCTACTGGTGGCTGTGGATGGTCCATAGCCATAACTGTCCTGTGAGAGGGTTTCCACGGGAGAGACAGAGAGCAAGGAGAAAGGGTGAGGTGTGTCCTCACTCGCCCCAAGCACGGACAGGGCTCTCTCGAGGGTCTGGGTTCTGTGCCAAGGGCAGCAAGGAGCACAGCTGGATTTGGGTTTACAGGGGGATTCAGGCTGTTGGTGGAATGGGGTCTACATGGAGGCAAGGACAAAAGCACAGAGGCCAGGAGGCCTTGGGAGGGGTCAAAAGCATGGGAGGGTGGGTATGGAGGGAGAAGTTGAAGGCCTTGGAGAAGTAATGACAAGAGAGGGCGGGAATAGAGCCAAACTGTGAAGCTTGGCTAATCAGGTGGCCTGTAGTGCCATGTACTGACCCAACCAGGGACGACCTATGGGTGGCAGAGGCTGGAGGGGTGGAGGGGCGGACCATGTGCAGCATGGGGTGCCCTGGCAATTCCAAGTGGAGACACAGCAAGGAGACCTGTGGCCCAGAGCTCCGAGCTGGGAAAAGTGGAGGAAGGGCCCAACAAGGACAAGCACATCCCGTCACCCCTATGGAAAAGGACAGAAACATGAGGAGGGTGAAGGTGTGTCCTGGACTGTCAGTACCAGCTGCCCACATCACTCTTACACTCAATACCATCCATGTTTTCAAGGAAGGACACGTGCTGGTGAGAGAAAGGTAGGCTGATACCTGGTAGGAGGGAGCAGTGGTAGGTGTGGGGGTGGGCTCCAGGAATCCTCCGTCATAATCAAAGTCCTGGATGGAGTGGGGCTGGTGCCCATCACACCCGGCTGGGCCACCGGACCTGGGTGGCTGGATGGCCGTGGAGGGAAACGGCAGGGTCATGGCGGGGCCCATTCCAGGCGCGGGCTGGGTGGTGAAGCTGGCTCCAGCAGCAGGGAGGGGATAAGCCATGGGAGGCTGAGTGCTAGAACCACAACACAAAAGCCCAGCTGCATTAGAAGGAGCTCTATAGAGAAGTTGAGTTGAGCACATAAACCACAGCAGACATTGCCCTCAGCTACTTCAGATGCCTACATTCAAACAGTACCTTCAGCGGCCACTAACACCTGTTGAGACCTTTTGCTGAGCACGGGCACAGTTCTAAGTGCTCTTCATGAGGAAACACAATCTCCTGACAACCCTGTGAGGCAGAGGCCACTGCTGCCCATTTTGCATAAGAGGAAACTGAGACACGGTACGTAGCTAAACCACATGGGAGGTAGTCTTTTTTTCAACATCAAGATTCCGCAAAGAAAGCTGAACTTTAACAGTACTTTTAAACCAAAGAACAAGTGGATGACCCAATTATTAAAATATGGAAGATTGGTTACCACTAAACTAAAAACGTTACTAACGAGAATCACCTTTCATTGACGGCTTGCTCTGGGGGAAGCACAGCTCCGAGGCTTTGTCCACATCTCCTCATTCATGCCTTACCACCTGTGGAGAAGGTGCCAGCACCATCAATCTGTCCATCTGTCCTCATTGTCCAGGTGAGGAAACTCTCTGATGATCAGTGACACATGTCAAGTGCTTGATTCAGACTCAAATCTTTCTGATTCCAGGGTCCCACGCTCTGCTAAATATCAGCCACCAGTAGACAGTACTCAAATTTAAAAGCCCATTTGTCAGAAAGGGTATCATCAAATACTTTAGCCCAATACCAATAAGGATCACATAAGAAAATTCTGAAACATATCCCCCTCGGATAAGGGGGGGCCTGTTGTACTGTATTTAACTTTTTGCCAGCTTGATTTATAACATTAAAATATTTAGACATATAGTATATAGACTTTCATTTGTACTTTTGTCCTGATCCTCCCAAACTTAAAGCCTAATTATTTATTTGTTTGAATGTATCACAACTCATTCACTTAGTTTTCTAATGGTAGACATTTATATGTTAGTTATCTACTGCTGAGTTAAAAATTATCCTCAATATATGGCTTCAAACAGTAATAACCAGTTATCTTCACAGTTTCTGTAAGTCAGGAATTTGGAGTGACTTGGCTGGGCTCTGGCTAAGGGTCTTTATGAGGCTGAAATCAAGCTGTTGGCTGGGCTCTATTATCCGAAGTACCAACGGGGGTGGTAGGATGTGCTTCCAAGATGTTCCTCCCCAAGCAAGAGAGAACCAGATAGAAGTTGTCCTTGTTATGACCCAGCATCAGACATCACATGGCATAACTACTGCCACGCTCCATTAGTTAGAAGTGAATCACTAAATCTAACCAACACTCAAGGGGAGAGGATTCGCCCCCACCTGTTGAAGGGAGGAGCATCAAAGAATTTGTGGACTTATTTTTAAACCACTACACATTATTTCCAATTTTCTGCTATTAAAGCAATGCTGCAAGGTATGTTCTATGTAAGTTCCACATGTGCCTTCTTGTGCAAGCTTCCCTTCATGGCTTCTTGTCCAGCCTAGGTCCCATACCACCCACTCCAAATGGGCACAGCTGAGAGGAAGGGGGCCAAGCTGGCTGACTTAGATCCATCAGGATTTACCCTGGAGCCTGGGCCACCCTCTCCTGAGTCACATAGGAGAGGTATGGACTCAACCCAAAATGGCAAGGGAAGGGATGGACATTGGGAGGACACGAAAGGCCATGCCATTGCAGCCACCGGGAAGGCTCAACAAGGGGGTCTGATTTGCCCAAGATGCAAGGGCAGGGGCACTCAGTCCAAGCGTGAGCGCAGACCTGCAGCTCTCCGGACAGACCTGCTGCTGCTGCGTAAGCCACCAGAACTGCACAGTGATGCTGAGCAGCTAGCTCTGTGAAGGCTTCCTTCTGCCCTCCACCTCCAGCAGGGTATCCCCTCCTGTTCCTGAAGCCCCAGCCCACAAAGTGGTGCCAACTGAGGGCACAGAGGCAAGTTTCTCTTGGGATGGAAGGGTGTCTTGTCCTTCAGCGGACAAGGGCTCTGAGGAAGTAGAGACAACCTATGGAGCTTCCTCTACCTTGCTCCCGCGGTGACCTGACTCAGGTAGAAAGCACTGTCTTCACATGGAGGGGGACCCCACCTAAGGAAATCAGTGGAGGCAGATGGTCAAGATGTTTGACTTGAGATATGTATTTCTTATTTAGATTGGGGCAAGGTTTCTTGATCTAAGCACTGCTGACATTGGGCCCAATTTCTGGAGTGGAGCCATCCTGGGCACTGTGGGGTGTTGAGCACCATTAGTGGCCTCTAACCACTTGATGTCAGGAGCACTCCCAGTCATGACAGCCACAGATGTCCCCACTGTCCAGTTGAGAACTGCTTTTCTAGGACAAGCTCAGTCCCAGGGCACCAGCTGGGCAGCATCATAGTCTGGTTTATGCCTGGTCCAGATCCTAATCTGGAAGGATCACAAAGACACTGTGAGCTGCCTCTGACAGCACGCTTGTGAGTGTAAATATAGAAGAATATGTTTTTGTTGTATATGACCCTGACTGGTGGTGTTATGCACACTGAAGTTTGAGGAACACTGAACTAGATTAAAGGGAGGAATGAGAGCGCACATGTAGATGGCTGGGCATCCAAGCCATTATGCCTTGACGTAATTCAGAGGCTGCGGTGGGAGATCTTAGGTGTTCTGCGTGTCTGCAGGGTGACACCCACTGGTATTTTCTTTTGTTTTTGTTTTTTCTTCAGGGCACAGAAAGCAAGTTTATTTGGTGAATGCTGATGGCAAACATCATCCAAGAGATATAAGCTGGGAAAAGTGCTGTGACAAGAGAGTCTAGGAAGCCTTCCGGGCTACGTATACAATCTCGCACAGGGGAAGGCACAGGGGAATGGGTACACTGGGAATGTCTTCAGCTGCTCAGCACCATGCGGATGAGCTCTTCATAGCTGATACAATCATTGCTGTCTTTGTGCCCTGCCACCAGCATCTCTACTTCCTCTATCATATTCTCACCCAGAGTGACAAGAACATGCCAGGTCTCAGCACCCATGACAGTGGCATTTCCTTCCTTGTCAAACACCCTAAGGCCTTTGACATACTCCTCACAGATGCCCTGGTCCTTGCTCTTGGTGTCTGCGGCATGTGCAGGAAGTGTTCAAAGTCCAACACCTTCACCTTCATCTCATCACTCTTGGGTTCCCCAGGACTTTGAGCACCTTGGCGTTGGTGGGGTCCTGGCCCAGGGCTCTCACCACATCCCCACACTGGCTGTACTCCTAGGATCTTGGCTCTCCTGTTTTGTCAAAGAGCTGGAAAGCCTCCTTGAACTCTGCGGTCTGATCCTCAGTGAAGTCACACATCTTGACTGCTCAGCTTTGCCGAAACGTTTCCTGTAGTAATGGCCCCCACTGGTGTTATTATGAAATGTGACAGCTGTGAGCAGACTGGTTGGCTGTGAGTACAGAGTCAAGATCAACATCAGCTTTCAGTTCAATGTGGGACAGTGAAACACCCTTGAACTCACCATAGGTCTCCTCTCCCATCGGTGGTAGTGGAACACCTCTCCAGGGCAAACAGTTGAGACACTGGGAGGGAGGATGCACTTGCTGACAGCCCAGCAGGTAACAGGAGGATCGCCCCCCCATCCCTGAGACTGGGAGGGTGACTGGGATTCCTGAGGATGGGGGCTCAAACTGGGCGGAGAGAAGGGCCTGGCACAGACCCTGGAGTGGGAGAAAGGCACAAGGCTGACAGGGAAACTGTCCTGTGTGCTGAGGGACAGAGGATGTGTGGGGTAACAAAAGGCTGGAGGGAGGGCTCAGGTGCTAGGCAGAATCCAGGTTTTATCTAGTAAGCAACAGGGAGTCACCAAGGGAATCCTTGCCAAGATCTGACCTGTTTTAGGATGCTACGGTAATGCTATGGACTAAATAGTGCCTCGCCTCCCCAATTCTTTGAAGCCCTAATTCACAATGTATTTGGAGATGGGACCTTTAAAGAGGTATCGTAAAATGAGGTCATAAGTGTGTGGCCCTAATCCTATAGGACGGTGTCTTTTATTAGAAGAGACACTACAGATGTGGACACATTGGGAAGACCACATGAGGCCACAGGGAGAAGGCAACCATCTGCGAGCCAAGGTGAGAGGCCTCAAGAGAAACCAATCATGCCAGAACCTTGATCTTGGACTCCCAGCCCCCAGAATAGGGAGAAATTTATTTAAGCCACACAGTCTGTGATATTTTGTTATGGAGATCCATACTGAAGAAATACAGGCAATGAGGGGAGAAGCTGAGAGCAAGGACTGCTAGGAGACATGTGACATGCAGGGGTCTCAACCAGAGTGGTGGAAATGGAAAGAGAACGCAGGAGGTATCGTGTCACCTGCCAAGTTTGGCTAAAGCTGGCTCCTAGTAATCTGGGGCTTTGCATAGCTGTCAAGTATAGTGAACGTTTGATGATAATGATCAAAAGGTTGGTTGTGACCTAAAAAGGGAACACTCGACCCATCTCATCCTAATTGCTCATGACCCCACAAAGCAACCAGCACACAGCTGCTTTTGGTATGGGAGGATAGTGTCACCCCACTTTTATTTAGTTAAGCAGGCTTTCCCAAGAAGTGGAGTGTGAAGCAATTTGGGGGAGCGCATTTACTGTGGGTCTAATGCCCATTCTCAGGAGAGAGCTTGGCACGAGGGAGCCCAGGCAAAAGGGATAAAGGGACAAATGGCTTTAAAACATGGCTTGGCAAAATATGGCCACATACTTTGTCTTCTCTAGCTGTGTCTTAGCCTGGCTGAAGGGGCAAGGGAGCTCTCTAGGGTCTCTCTTATAAGGACACTAATCCCATTCATGGGCACCCCACCCTCATGACCTAATCACCTCTCAGGGTTCCACCTCTTACTGTTACAGGCAGTTAAACAGACATGAACAGAGCAAGAATGATGGGCCCGGTACAGAAACTCACCAGGGCAGAAAGCCCTGGATGCCTAGCAAGGGCAAAACTGGGAAAACAAGAACCTGGCTCCCAGGGTAACCTTTCCTCCCCTAGCATTTGCTGGTCATGTGGTTTGGACCCCCTGACTTTTCATATTGCTCATGCAGTCTACACCCCCCTGACCTTTCCCTCCCTAAAGGTAACATCTAGGCCTCAGTTGTATTTCAACTTCAGGCCCAGAAAAGCAGCAAAACCAGATTAAGTGAGCCACAGTTGCCTCGAGACCAACTTCACTGACTAATGACCCCCTGCCCTGGCACTGACCAATCAGTAAAGACCACGACCCTGAAAGAGCACACCTGGAAAGCTGGTGAATAATCTACTGAGACACTTCCCTGAGACCTCCCCTAAGATTTCCACCTGCAAGAGAGAGAAATACACTCAGATTGAAGCACCCAGCATGCACTCTCCCCCAGGGGAGCATGCCCAAACCATTCCCTTCTCCCTTCTTCCAAGGAACCTCACAAGACTTGCAACCAGGGGAGCAATGAGCAGCGGCAGCACATCCTGGGCTAACCCCCTGAAACTGTCGCCAAGGCCCCCTTCTCTTTGACTTCTCAGTGAGCCAAAGCAGCCAGTTGCTTCTTCGATGCCCTTTTTTTGTTTCATTGTCCTAAAGTGTCTTTTTGCTGCAGCCAATAAATTCTTATTTTGTTACACTTTGTCTCCACTGAAATCTTGCCTTCAAGAAGACAAGAACCAAGGTCTCATCTCACCACTAACATCACTACCACTGAATTGGAATTAGGTGTCAACATATCAATTTGGGGGTGGGAGGCACCAACCTTCAGCCTATGGCAGCATGATTCCTGCTACAGTCTTTTGGCCAAGGCCAGGTACAAGGGCCAGAGAAATAGATGCCATTTTTAGATGGAAGGAGCTGCAAGGTCTCAGTGGGAAGGGTATGAAAATAAAGAGTGAAGGACTGAGACATCTGAAAGTCAATCTACCATATCTTGGTTTTAGGAGTTGAGCTAGCCACAAAATGGCTTGTGAGAAAGACTTCCTGCAGGCATCATTGTTAAAACCTAGATAATCTAGAGCAGAGGTTCTCACCTGGGGTGATTCTGCCCCCCAGGGGACACTAGGCAGTGTCTGGGGATATCTGTGATTGTAACAATGAGGGGGTACTCCTTGCACTGAGTAGGTAAGGCCAGGAATACTGCTCAATACCCCACAGTACCCAGAATGGGCCCACCCCAGACAGTGATCCAGACCCGATGACAGTGGTGCTGCTGAGAAACAGATCTACAAGGACACGGTCAGGGTATCTGGGGATGGGGACCTGGGATTAGAATACAGCACAAGGGGAAAAGAAGCCAAGTGGGCAGCAGAGGCTGTTGCTCCCACCCAGGTTCCCTGCCCCAGGTCTAAAGGGAGAATGCCCACAACTCTTCTCGGGTTCCTCATGGTGGGAAGTCACCGGTTACCTTGCCTTCTTTCAATTTCTAACAGCCTTTTTCTGAGTCCCTTTACGAATCAGATGAAAGTTGTGACTCCCTGACCTGATTCCTATGGATAGTTTTGCGTGTGATCACCAGGGGCTTCACAGGCCCCAGGTTAAGAATCCCTGCTGGAATAGGGGGATCAAAAAGAAATCGTTGAGGTTAAATGGCAAATTTCATGTGGTCTGGCCTTGCGTGGTGAGGCATATCTTCTTCTCTCAGGAAACATAGTAAATTCTTTCAGTGGCATTGACTTCTCTGTGTCAACTTAGGCACCTCTACAGATTAAAATCCCATGGGTACAATTGAGACATTCAGTTAGACCAAGATGGAGAAAAGTTGAGGATGTGAGCATTCTGCACGAGGACTGACTTAGAGTTCAGACAGGTTTCAAGCTTAAAAACTGGGTGGAGCACTATGGCCCAATGGTATGTGCACAGGGTCCAGAGTCAGACCACCTGGCTTCCAATACCTACTCTGTTCACTGTGGGGCCCTGGGTGAGTCACTTATTCCTCTAGCCTCAGTTTACTCACCTCTAAAATGGGAACACCTATCTCTTGGGATGATGTGATAACTAAACAAGGACTGATGTGTTACAGTGCCTCGCACATGGTAGGAGCTTACAATGAAGTCCAGGGTTGTCAGATCTTCTGATTTTAAGTAATGCTAGAAATTAGGGTTGCCTTAGTCAGGTAGCTCAGTTGGTTAGAGCATCATCCCAACATGCTAAAGCTGTGGGTTTGATCCCCGGTCAGGGCACATACAAAATTAACCAATGAATGCATAAATAAGTGAAACAACAAATTGATGTCTCTCCCTTCCTCTGTCTATAAAATCAATCAATAAATAAAAATATATTTTTTAATTAGAGATTTTGAAAAGCCTCCCAATTTTTAAATGTTTGCAACTAATTAAAATAAAGTAATAATAATTTTTAAAAAACAAACAAAAAAATCACCGCACAAGCCAAAGAAAGCAGGTGTGAGAAGCAAACATGGTCTGCAGGCTGCCCATTTCAACCTGTAATCGAGACTGAGAATTTAGGAGTGGTGGTCAAGGAAGGGAAATCAAGTCAGAGGTTTACTCTTGGTAAAGCTTCCCCTTAAGCACTGAGCTCTTCACCTACTTGTCACTTCTCCTAACACTCCCCAAAGTGGTGTGTAAACGAAGTCAGACTGAGATAAAATCTCAGTGCCAAGCAGTTAAAAATCTCCACACCAAATATCAGCTATCCTGCAGTGCTGAGAGAAAAGCTCTGCTCCAGCATCCTGACCTTAGCTCAGTTTTCCAGGAGCATCTGTGACTACTCACAGGGTGAAGTAACATTCATAGCTAGGATGGTGCATTGTGAAGTATGACACCCACTGCTAAATATGGTCACTAAAGACATTCATCAGGGAGGATATTTTCAAATCTATTTTATCGGCAGTAAGATCACATTTAATTACTTTATGAAAACACATACATACACACCCAGCAATGTTTTCAGTTTACACTCTGGTTCACAAGGGTTTTATATTCAAAACATTTATATATTATACATTCATACCCATAACAATTCTAATTTTTTTAGAATTTTATTTTTAACCATAAAAGCCTGTGTGTATTCTCCATGTGAAGTGCCCATTTTCAGATCCAGAGAGCCCAGAAAACACTCCGACATATTGGAAAGGGGTCTGATGAACTAAATCCTTGGGCTCTTGGAAGGATGACAGGATTTTACTCCTCTCCACACCCATATGCAACCTTCTTTAAAATGTAGTCAGGAGTCTCTAGCTCCAAATCAGGGCCACCTGGCTCCTCAAGACAGAGCCAATGGGCTGCTTGGCATTCCTGAGGCAGGGATTCCAGAGCCGGGTGACAGGACTTTCCTGAGCCTTGAGGATGAGCCAAATTCAGTTTGGCAGGGGAAGTCCTGGAATTCTCTTCATCTCTCAGAAATATGGTCCCCACATAGAGGGTGGCTATATGGTTAGCTCTGCTGGTCAGGTGCTTTATAACTGTCTTGATGATATTATGCTGGTTAAACTAAAGAAAAAGCATTATGTACACACCCCCCTAGAAGCAGTGAAAGAATTTCCAACCAGGAACAATATGGCCATGGCTTCTTACTTCTGTGAACCTCAGTTAACTGATGGAAGGCCAATGTTTCGGGAATGTCAAGGGGTCATCTGTGGCTCCAAGCCACCCCCTGCTGCTGTAAGGGGCAAAAAAACACAACTCTCCACAGCCATGTCAACACTGGTCTAACATGTGCCTCTCTAGTGCCAACAGAAGACTAGATAGCCAGCCTGAGGTTCTCATAAGCAAGTACAACAGACATGGAACCACCAACCATGGGTTCAACCAATGACATTCAAAAGTAAGAGGAAGCCGCAGGCTTTTTAAAAACAGCCATTCCAAGGTGATAGCACACTCTGCTCCCAGAGAACAAACCTCATGAAAGAGTAAACCTAGTCAATGGAACTGACTTTCTGAAATACAAAATGCTACAGAATCAAATTGAAGCAATTCTCAATTTTTAATCAACAGTGTCAAATGAGGATCTTGGAATATATTAATTTAATTAATTTGGGGGGGATACATTAATTTTAAAAGGCAAATGGACAATGATGTACAACAAATGCAACTTACCTTTAGGGGAAAAAAACCTGCCAAAGCAAAATATCTACCAAAAAAAAAAAAGTCCAGTTCCCCCAACAATTTACAAATGAAGTTTACAGCTAAAAGAAACACGGTGACCTTAAAATTAACATATAACATAAGTCTAATAAAAAGGATAGGCAGAGAACCTATACCTTATACCAAGGTATCTGCCAGATACCCTGGTATAAGAGACAGAAAAAGAAAACAATTACCAACCAATTAGACATTGGGCAATACCAAAACCTTTTCCTACCAAGATTCTAAACACTCTGTGAATAAATAGCACACTTCAAATTTAAGGCATTATAGACATAGAAAAAGACATGCAAAACAAACAAACAAGAACTCTCTGTGATTTGTCAGTTTCCTAATTTTGTTCTGAATTAGGCAGCATTACTTGGCTTTGATGATTAAGCTGTCTCAGTGATGAAAACAAAAACTGGTATTAACACAATAAAACCCCAGAACCATCTTAATCGACTAAAACCAGTCAAAATGAAGATGGGATATGTACTATACCTTTTAATTATCAAAGGTATCTATAATATCTTCTGCAGTTTCCTTTCATGAATAAACTTTTTAAAACATAAAGCGAAGATCATAAGTGGAGGCAGGTGTCATTTGACCATAGTCTGAATTGGGTGCTGGTACTTAAAACTTGGAGACTTGCACATAGAAAGAGGGATGTGCATTCTCTGCGGAAATGGGAAGACTCTCCACACTGGGTTCTGACCCGTGTCAGCAACAGGTGGGGTGTGTGTGGTGGGGTGCAAGCTCTGTCTTGGTCTCCCCCCACTGCCATACACTCTCTACCATCTTAGACTTGATTCATTTATGTACAGGTCTGGCCCTTACAGGGCCAGCTGCAATCCTTGATTTGAAGTTTCAGAAACTTTCGATTTACTAATATAAGATAAAGAGAATGAATACAGGTTTACAATTGCCCTTTCTACATGTTTTCCTTATTTTGCCAGGGCTACTAACTTATTTATCCAGATCAATGGTCTTCGTCCCCCTACCTCTATTACCACACAAAAGAACACCAATTACACTTGTGAAAAAATTTTAAAAAATATTTGAAAATGCTTTTAAATTTGATGTATTTGTTCTGATAAATCTAAGTATACATGTTGGTAGATCCAGACAAAAGACAAAGTATAACAGAACTATTAAAAATTCAGAAACATGAATATGTTTAAGGAAAAAAAGTCTCTATTAGGAATTTACTTATGCTCCAAAGTTGATGAGTTGACTTTTGGCTCTGAAACAGAAAAAAAAATGAAAATTCAAAATCCACACTTCAGATATTTGAAATGTACCAAATGTATTTGTAATAAGATCTAAGGTACCACAGTTCTATCATCTGAAAGGTTTTCCTTAAAATATACTTAAGCCAAATTTTTACTGGTAGTCCAAAGCTACCACTCAAAATTTCCTGCCAAGAGATTCCCTCAACCAAGCCCTAACATGTTGTTTTACCCTTACTGAGACAGGCCTTTAAAAAAAACAACTGCAACCACATTCTAACAAGAAGACTTGTATGCCTTGCTATTCTAGTGTCAACTTCCTGTCAGTCCCAACTGGGAATACATGAGAGGTGCTGCCTAGGTGCTTACTTAGCAGGACTGCTTCAAACTCAACTAGAGGTTCCCAAAGGCCCAGTGCTCCTGGATGTCTAATGCAACAGTGATTTGGGGTGAGGTGGTGGGAGTCCATTTAGAGGTATGCACCCTAGCCTCTGAGACAGGGACACTGCTTCCCAGCAGCCTGTGCTCCTTGCACCTAAGCTCGGGGACAGATGGGTCATGGCAGGTAAGGTTCACTCTGGAAGGGTCTGGAGACCTGGAGGGAAGGGCAGGCAATGGAGGCTGCTCCAGGTACACCAGGACTGTTCTGAATCTGACTGCAGCCATACCCGACAGAGCAGGGGGCCACTCAATCAGGGGTGTTACTGAGTGATCCTCCGTCTGCCAGCCAGCATTCCCCACGGTCAGTATGGGCTTCAGTGCCTTTCCCAATCTATGCGTTGCCTCTGAGAGGCTTTTGATTTATGCATTATGATGTAAAAAAATTCCTATTCAGGGCTGTGGTTATCAATTTTAAAAGCCAAGAAAACCTACTCAAAAGTCCTCTAAGAAGCAAACTTGTCTTCACTTTGGCAATTCATGAAACAAACTTTGTAAATACTGTTGTCCAAGTACTACCATTTAATTTATTTAGCAATAAAGTTGATGCTCCAAACCCTGTTATCCTATCAGTTTTTCCATGGTACATTATATGAGAAATGTGTGCTTTAAAAGCAGCTGAAGGTTCCAAGCAAAAGTCATTTCCCACAAAAGGGAATGTCTAGTTAACTAAAAATCACTCAAATAATGCAGATTATCTTGTTTCAAGGTTTTGTGAGACTGAAGTTTATTTTGCTATGATTCCCGTGTTTTAGTTTTAGTTGAAACTACTCTTTTATCAAAGAACAACACATGCTCTCTGGGGCAATTCTAAAGACACAAACTAATTTGACAGTCAGTGAATGGTAGTTTCACATACTTAGTTACATGTGTGTATATTATATCACCTAAGTTATCAGGATACAGACAACGGCTGCATTAAATGTGTAAGTACAGTGAGTCAAATAAATAACAAAAACATCTACTGAAGCCTGGCAACTAAAGGCATACCTTGTTTTTATTGTGCTTCCCAGATATTGTATTTTACAAGTTGAAAATTTGTGGCAACCCTGCATCAAGCAAGCCTAGCTATCAGTGCCATTTTAGCAATTTCTAGCAATAAAGTATTTAGTAATAAAGTATTTAATTAAGATGTACATTGTTTTTAGACACAATGCTACTGCACACGTAATAGATTACAATATAATATAAACATAATTTTTATATGCACTGAGAAAGCAAAAAATTCATGTGACTCGCTTTATTGCAATATTTGCTTTATTGCAGCAGTGTGGGACCAAACCCACGATATCTCTGAGATATGCCTCTACCTATTTTAACAGTTTAAATGCTCAATTTCTACTCTAGAAGAAAATTTAATAAAAAGCATAACATTAAAGTGACTTCCCAGTTCTGAATGAAGAATGCACTAGAGAAAGAAAAAGAGAAAAAGAGAAGAGAGAAAAGAAAGCTAGCAAGCAGGCAGAAGGGCAGAGCGTTTCCAAAAGAAGACTCACTAAGTCCTGCTTCTTTAAGCACTGGTAATCAGAACACCACTGAGGATGATGGAAACAAAAACCTAACACTCTGTTCCAGGAAACAGCAGCCTATACATTCTGTCCTTGATAAAAAAATCCATTACTAGAGAAATGCTACACCTTAGTGACTACGCTGAGTGCAGAAAACATTGGGAGCGCTCCTAACGTCCACAACCCTTGTTTCCTAGCCCTGGTCTGTTCCCACAAGAAAGAACATGGCACCCTGCCTGGTGTGATTAGAGCGTCATCCCTGCACTGAAGGGTCTCGGGTTTGATTTCCAGTGGGGGCACATGCATGAGGCAACCAACCGATGTTTCTCTCTCACATCGATGTTTCTCCCTCTTCCTCTCCCTTCCCCTCTCTCTAGAATCAATGAAAAACATCCTCGGGTGAGGATTTTAAAAAAAGAACATGGCAGTATCACCGCTGGGTTGAGGGGTTGGTACTCATTTTCCACTAGCCTCATATCTATTTGCAACGTTCTGAAATAGAGTATGAACACATGCAGCAAAGGCCCCTAGTGCAGCAGACACTTATCTCTCAGTTGCCTAAGGGGGCTGGCACCCATGGTGGGCTCCTCAGAGTCTGTGAGAAACTGGCCCAAGAGGTTCCGCCAGGCTACCAGTTGGAAATTGACACGAGGGTAATAAATGAAAAAGATGGGGAGGGTGGCCCTCCTAGGGATGCCAGCCCTGCACCTCTACCTGGAACTTGGTCTTGATTGCTGAAGGAGAGAGACAGCAGAGATGCTCCAAGAATAATGTGTGTGGGGAGGGGGGGGGAGTGTTTGTACATATGAGATAAAAGATACCCATCTGTCTCTATCCATAGAACGCTCCTTCGCCTGGCAGCTTCCTATGCCTGCCTGCCACCCTCCCCCATCTATTCTCTGGGCTCCTTTCTCTCCCTCCCCTCCCAAATGCGTGGGTCCATGTCCTTTACTAGATCTTAAATATCCAAGCACTTCATTAAGTTTCAAGGTCTCAAGACCCTCTACCCCTTCTGTCCTAGGGGTACCCCTCCAAACTGTTCCCTCTCCCTTGGAAGCCCCAGGTGCCACTCTATCGGATCTCAGGACTTCCCCTATGTCAAGTCGGCAATCACCTCCCAACGTCTCTGCCCAACCCCCAGTCAGGCTCAATCCCCGTCCTCACGTCTCTGCCTCTCCCTCGAGTAGCCTCCCAGGTCTCTGTGTTCTCTCAAGCCCTCCACCCCGACTTTCAGGGGTCAGTACCCCCACATACCCCTGCCTGGCCAGGTACCCTCCCAGGTAGGTCTTTCCTCCCAACCAGGGTCACGTCCCCACCTCTACTCCCCC